AAAGGGAGAAAGTTGTCTCAATTCCTAATTTCGTCATATTAACAACTATTTTAGTTTTGTTTCCCCCATTCTAACTCCCCACACACAGCTGGTTTCAGTAAGAAAATACGTGATGAGTTTTATATTATTTGTGAATTTGTGTATCAAGTCTTTGGCCTTGTTCTGCATCACAAAGCCCCCACTCCATCTGTAGACGAGTAGACTTCCCTAACAGGCCTACCAACAAGACTCAAAAGGATTAGAAAGTAGTTTACTCTCCAGAATCATTAAATCTTTGGCTTGTCTCCTAAGACAAAGTGTATCGGTTCTTGGGTGGCTGCTGTGCTTGATGTACTGGGAAATTTAATAGGACATCATGTGACCGAATAGACATTACATAAGAATAATGAATGCTGGCCATAAATTTACCTGTGTACTTATAAGAACTTTCATCTTTGTTTGAACGCTTCACATTCACGAAGTCTTTTACCCAGGGAACACCCTAGGAGGTAAGAACAAATTATTCTTTTCACATTAGAGATGCCAAATTGAGATACAGGGTAAAGCGAATGAGTTGTCAAAACACAGAAACTGTTGTGGCTAATATCAAACAGATTACAGCAGGACCTGGACAAATTACAGGGGTGGGCTAACAAAAATAGGATGGGTTTTAATACTGACAAGTGCAGGGTGCTGCACTTGGGCAGTAGGAACCAGCAGCACGCTTATAAGCTGGGAAACTCCCTTCTCGAGAGCACGGTGGCAGAAATAGATCTTGGAGTCATCGTTGACTCCAAGATGAACATGGGCTGACAATGCGAGGTCACAGTCAGTAGGGCTAACTGTACCTTGTCGTGCATCCAGATGCATCACGAGCAGGTCCAAGGAGGTGATCCTCCCCCTCTATGCGACACTGGTTAGGCCGCAGGTGGAGTCTTGTGTTCAGTTCTGGGCACCGCACTTCAGGAGGGATGTGGACAGCATTGCGAGGGTCCAGAGGAGGGCCACTCGCATGATCTGGGGACAGCAGGGCAGACCCTATGAGGAGAGGTTACGGGACCTGAACCTGTTCAGCCTTCGCAAGAGAAGGCTGAGGGGGGACCTGGTGGCCATCTATAAATTCACTAGGGGGGGACCAGGGGGGGTTGGGAGAGGCCCTGTTCCCCCCGAGCGCCCCCCGGGGTAACAAGGAATAACGGCCACAAATTGTTAGAGAGTAGGTTTAGACTAGACATCTGAAGGCACTACTTCACAGTCAGGGCAGCTAGGATCTGGAACCAACTTCCAAGGGAAGTGGTGATGGCTCCTACGCTGGGGGTCTTTAACAGGAGGCTTGACGTCTACCTGGCTGGGGTCATTTGAGCCCAGTTCTCTCCCCTGCCCAGGGCAGGGGGGCGGACTTGATGATCTACAAGGTCCCATCTGACCTTACTTCTATGAATCAAACCCAGGTTTCCTAAATCTCAGCTGAGTACCCTATTCTTTCCACTATTCTCCCTAGTCAGCTGGACATGATTGCAAGCCATGTCTTGAAGTTAAAATGCTCTGGTTACATAACTTAGGCCCCAATCCTGTTCCCATTTTAAATCACTGCTAAAACTCCCATTATCTTCCAGAGGAATTGGGAACAGTTTGAAGCCAGCATAGTTTATTTTATATAATTTTTATGTGTAGAGGGTTAGAACAGATTATGTTCATGAATTGCAAATGATTTTATACA